GTCCTCCTTGCCCTCTGCTGGAGAAATGGAATCCCAGCACTTGCTGGGTTCCCTGGGGCAGAGCGTGAACAGTCCAGCCGGAGCAGCAGGCCAGGTCCCAGACACCGGCCGAGGCAGCTTCAGGGCTGTGGAGCCCAGGGAGGCCTCTGTTTGGCAGAGGCTTGAGAGGGGTAGAGCGGGTGCCCTTAGCAATGGGCACCCGCCAGGCACATGCTGAGCCACAGGGGAAACTTGTTTCGCTCTCTAAATTGTGGGAAATGCATTTGGGGGACGTTGCACAGGGGAAGATCTGACCAAGCATACTGCTGAGTGGTGCAAGTCTATTTCTTATATAGATATCAAATATCTGCTATTTGCTGCTTCTCATCTGCTGCCTTTGGCTCTCTGAACTATTCTGTTTATTTCCCCACCCACAGCACCGGCTAGTTCAGATGAAGCAGCCCACAGAGTTGATTGTCTACTATAAACATCTAGAAGAGGATTAATTCTTCCTGGGCTGCGTGTAAGAGAATAACAATGAACGAAAGGCTCATGGGTGAAGTAGCAGAACTTCACTCTGCCTTTGTAGGGAAAGCACTACCTTCCGCCTTGAGATGCTCCTGTGGTGGGGTAGATTCTGATCGCCATGTGATTCAGGACCGTTCCATTCCACGTTTGCCATGAGTCAGACCCTTCCATCATGAACCCGACTTCCATTCCTGATGTCGTTATGACAGCGTGGCAACCAACAGAATTTTGTTTTAACTCTTCAAGAAAAAAACAAAATTGACCATGAAGGGAGAAGGCTACGGGACTACGGCAAAGGCCCAGAGCTAGCACATGTCCCAGGCCTGGGTGGCACAGCGCTGTGTGTGACAGATTGCGTGGTTACTCACTTCTCTTTCCTGGCTTTATACTCCCCATCCTTGCCATGAGATTTCTAGGGCTCCAGCTGACAATTCGGTCTCAGGATGTGCTGCAGCCACTGAGTTGGGCCAAGCAGAAGCTTCAAGAGGTGCAGTGGGTGCCTGTTAGCAAAGCCACTTCGAGGAACAGTAGGACTCGGGCAATTCGCTCAGGCATCACCTTGCTCTAGGCAGGAATGAGTATTATTTACTTCTAATTAAGGAAGAATAAACTAATCTATGAAGTGGCCCTAAGCCAGCAGACTTAGTCTCGCTCCAGCTCCTACAAATATGGGTAAGGCATTTAACTTCCCTGAGCCTCCGATTCCAATAAGGATTCTGCTGCCATCCTTACGTGGCCGCTAAGAGGATCAAATAGGGCCAAGATGGTGAACATTTTCTGTAGAGGATCAGGTACCAAATGTTTTAGATTTTGGTTGCTTCTTTCTTCTCTTCTGCTTTTTCTCTTGCCTACTTCCTCCACCCCAAGAGAAAAATTCATTTTTTAACTCACCAGCTATACAAAAAACAGCCTCCAGCCCAGTATGGGCCTCTGGTCACAAATAGTCTCCTGATCCTTGAATTTGAAAGGTTAATGGAAAAGAAGGTTGGGATGGGAGTGGTGTGCTGGTGGGGTTGGAAATCAGGCAATGAACTCTTGATAGAAAACATGTCCCCTGGGCCTGCGTGGGGCCAGCAGAATTGGGGAATATGCGGTGCTTTAGGAAAATCTTAGACTGAGGTGATACGGAGTCAGGAAGATGTGCACTAATGGAGCAACCTTAGTGGATGAAATACTTTTCATAATTACACACGAAGCAATAGATAGGCATTATTGTTTTATTCTCTGGAAGACTATAGTAGAAATTCTCTAATTTTAAACAACAATGCCAAGCAGTAGTTTCACCAGAGTGAAAACACTGTTCTGTGTTTTATCATATCCTGGTATAATGAAATTAACTGGGTTTAAAGGCAGATCAGAACTTTTTCTGCATATTTCAGTTTCTGTGGTTTTGTGTCTGCTATAAGTGCACCAGTATATAAATACATGCTGTCTGAATTTTGCAGTCCACCTGAAAGATATATCCAGTGCCCTGGAGGTAGGGGTGAAATTCCAGAGATTGGGCTACTGTGATGGTTAAGCTTGATAGTGTCAACTTGAACGGCTTTGGGACCCACCCAGGGATGGGTGAGCACACTTCTGGGTGTCTGGGTGGCTCACAGAAGCACAGCCTTGGGGCCTATGTCTGGTCTCTGGCCCCTTTCCCCCGCTCTGCTTCCTCGGCCATCACAAACTGAGCAGCTCCGCTCTGCCCACCCTTGTGCACCCTGCCCACCCTGCTCTAGAGCCAGACAAACAAGGAATGAGTTCCCCAAGGCCATGCACCAAACTAAACCTCTTCTCCTTTAAGTTGTGGGTGGCAGGCACTGTGTCTCAGCAGTGAGAAAGCTGACTAACACAGCTACACAGATGGAACAAAAGCAATTGATTAAATCAATTAATGGTCTCTTACTGAATGTGTTTAGTTTCAGGGGTCTAGAATAAGAATGGGTAATAAAAAAGCATTCCATCTTGGGGTAATTCCCAAAGCTCCTTCAAGTTCTACTTTTAATGACCACTATCTACAAAATGAACAAGGCTCCTTAGAGAAATGGCTTGTTCCAAAAAAAGACTAGAGCTTCACAGGACAAATCTAGAACATCTTGTGATAAGAAAGTAAATATTCAAAGAAGGATCAAAACTGTCCAAAGGACACAATATCTAGCTTACAAGAGGCTTCAATGGCCAAAATTGGACTCTCTGAGCATCATAAGAAATAATGGTAGTCACAGGGTATAGCTGCTACCATAAAATAACAACGCATAAGCGCATACTGATCTAGAAAATACAAATACATAGATGGAGGTAGGAAAGGCTTTCTTTAAGGTAGAAAGCCAGGTAACAAGCAGAGGAGGAAGGAAAAGTATCATTTGATAAAGGCTGCTGTGACAATTCTTAGATGTGATTCATCAGAAGATGTCAGAGACAGAGAAGGATTAAGAACAAGCAGGAATAACCGAGTCTCCAAGTGTCCTCCCATAGCACACTTAGGAACTGTGGAGGTAAAAAAGGTAGTCGTTTTACAACTGAGAAGACTGGACCTTACCTAAGTCAGCAAACTAAGTTCGCTATGAACAAGTCTCCTGCTATGCATCACCAAGGACACAGCATCACTTCTGCTGAATTCTTGATAAAAATGCACCACCCAGAGCTACTAATGGGAAACACTCGCCAAACCCAAATTGGGAGATATTCTACAAAACCAAATTTCCTCTTCAAAAATGCTAAATCCACGACAAACAAAGGCAGAGGAAATGTCTCAGATGAGAAGAGATTAGAGGCTCGACAATAAGACAATGTTCTCTTGGGTGAGATTCTGCATCGAGGAGTCAGTGCTTCCCTTTCGCAAGAAGGCGACCGGTAGGAAGCTAGGAAAATCTGACCGGTGCATGAGTTAGACAAGAGCATTACACACCAGCGTTTCCCGATCCTGACAAAGGTAGTGTAGGTATGCAAGAAGAAGTCCCTGGCTTTAGGAAATATACAGTGTGGTACTTCGGGGAAAAGGCAAAGGAACATTCTATCCAGTTTGGACTCAAATAATCAAGAAAAAAGAATACAAAAATAAAACAAGTCAATCTGCTAACATGCGGGCAATGTAGGGCTATCAAAATTCTTTTACTGTGTTTGAAACTTTCCTCTAAATCTGAAATTATTTCAAAATAAAAAGTTAAACATAAATGTAAAGCTGAAACATATAAAGTGAACTCCAGGAGCAAGTAGTCCTGAGGCCTGGGATAAGGGAGAAATTGCGCAGGAAGGTAAACAGAGGCACACAAAGGTCCCAGGGAAGGGCCACGGGGTCTTGTGAGCAGCTTGTCATTATAAATGTGCGCTGGGAAGGAAGGACGAGGAAAGACAAATTTAAATCCCAAATTTCCAAGGCATGGGCAGCTGTGGGTAAAAGAGGCAGAGACGCGAGAGTAACAGAAGTAATGAGCAGTCAGAAAGAGTGAGGCTGTTCCCTAACTGTCGGAGAGAAAGCTTGTAGGGTCACGTTTCCTCTGGGTCACCGCCAATGCTGCTTCTGTGGAGCAGAAACATTCCTGAACCCGAACAGTCCCAAGCAAGGGCAGCACATCCCTCCGGACGGGAGGCCCACTCCGAGTCCGATGAGGTCCTCAAAACCGATCTACTCACTTCACAGACAGTGCACATGTCTCTGCCATGTTTTTATACTAACTTAGTATCCATTATACATCATAGGCCTCTTTTACAAAGAGCAGCAACAATAAATGAAAACACCAACGTGTAACCAAATGTACATCACATCTCGAAATAACCTATTTCCAAATAAGGGGTAGGAAGGAGGGGAAGAAGCCAGGCTTAAGAGATGCTCCTTTAGCGCCATCTGCTGTCTGTAAGTGGATGTGGTAACAATCCCGCTCTCCGGCTCGGACCGGGACCTTCCTCCTGATCCACCCTAAAAGTTAGCTGCCATTTAAACCTCTTGTTCTAAGCTGAAATTTTTAGCTTTGTACATTAAGTCAATCAATCTATATCCTCAGCAAATACGGGACCACGCGATACTCATAGTGTCCGAGCGGAAAAGCAAAGCCAAACCCATCGCAACTCACACGCACGTGCCACATTGCATTTTGCAATTCTCCCTCACACTAAGTCTTCCAGGAAAACAGAAGCTCTCATAAATACGTCAAGTCTGAGCAAGCTCACACTGGCTCCGAGGACTACTGTGTGCACGTCTCCGGGGTCATATTCAGTAATGTCACACCCTTAGTCTGAGGACGGCAAGAATGGGCGCGTTCACTCTATAAAATTGGCAGAAGATGAGAACCAGGCCCCGACCCTCCTTGGAGAGCGTTTCCCAGCTCACACTGCACACGCAGGCAGGGACACCTGCGGAGTCTGATCCCCGCGGTGAGAAATGCAGCCATCACGTACCACGAACCAGATCTACGACAACCGGGGAGACGTCACTGTGAACAATTGCGCGTCTCTCGTCATAACTGTATCCTCTGATACTTGTAGGCACAGTACTACCTTCTTCCTTCTCTAAGATCTTTCCTTAAATTATCCCACGAGTCAAAAGACCATCACTGTTAGTCTGTGGTGAATATATTCAGAGCATTCTCCACAAAACAAATTTCCTGGAAAGGCAAGCGAGCAGCACATGTTTAAGGGTCTCCAGATGGATGGCTCCATCTTGATTCTTTTGTGTCCAAGCTCCAAAGCCAAGTGCTTATTCTGATGCCTGGAGCAATTTCATCCATGTTGGACGGCAGGGATAAATGTGGGAATCATCAGGGCCTCTTGAGACGTCTTTGCTTCCCACAGAAACTGCAGGCATGGCAGGGAGGAGACCTGGCCGTCAAGAATGTGAATTATGAGCTCCTCCAAAAGGTCAGCTAGAATGCCCTAACGTAACACGAGAAGCGGTAACTTGGAATTCCTTTATGGAATGGCTGATAGAAGACAGATACATGGCTTACGTGAAAACAGAAGGAGCAGAGCTGTGTGCCTTGCAATTAGAAGGAAAGTTACTTGTGTCTAAGCACAGAATGACCCTGGACAGCCATGGTAAGAATCTCGGGAAAACTCTAAGTGCATCAGAGAGAACGACCTGGGTTTGACTCCAAGAAGGAGCTGGTGGTGCATGGTGGTCTCCACCGGCTCTCAACGGAGATGCCACGGGACAAGGAGAGACACAGGCGCCTCCCCTAAATGTCTTACACCTTAAGCCCCATCTTATCATCTCCTCTCTTTGTAAAAAATGAGTGGTTTTTTTCTTCCTCAGAGTGACTCTCATTTTCCCAGCTTCCCAGCTCGGAGGAGACGCTGCTCCTGCAGACTGCTTGTTGGAACCCTGGTATCCATCGGATGTTAGGATTTGTCGTTGCATCTGACGCCGGCAGAGGGCGTCCAAGGTTCAGGGTGTCACGGAGGCAGAGAAGGCTTGGAAGACCAGAGCCTTGAGATGCTTTTTCAACAAACTCAAACCAGTCTTTGTGGACACAGAGCAGGAGTCAAATCCCCAGGATTAAATTCGCCCCCTCTAAAAAGTAAACAATGGTTTTCTTTCATGATTATGAAACACATGTTACTTACTGCCTACCTTGACCTTTCCCCTAATTACATTCTGAAATCTATTTATCCATCCCGTAGCCTGGTGTGGGACATTTTGTCTTCCCTCAGATGCAGAGATAAGCACTATCAACGTAACTGAGCTTACACTAAGTTTTTCACACAATTATAAAACTAAGAGTCTGTCTTTTCAACATTTATGTTAAGGGGCTACATCAGATGGATATACCTTAATAGATCTGATGGTCAATCTGTTCAGACTGCTTAACATTTTTGTTACTGTGGCCCTAAATTTTTCTGTATTTAGTGTTAGTTTCTCAAGACAAGTTACTTGGAGTGAAATGCTGTGTGTGTGTGAAGTACAAGATCTGTATCACCAAGAGCACCATTCCAGCGTACATTCCTGTCAGCAGTGGGTAAACTTGCATGTCACAGCATTCTAGCCAGCATTTTAATTCTAACTGTGCTGCTAAGAAAAGCTGTGTGTCTATTTTGATTTCAGTCTTTTGATTATTGGAAAGGCTGGATTTATTGTTTTTCTGTATGCATAGTTATGTATTCAAGCATAAACTTCTCATCATCCAGTAAGTGTGGTGCACGTACTGGTGTGCAGAGGATACTATGCTAAAACCTAGCACAGGATCCTGAACCAAAACCCCAAAAGCCCCTCTGTCCCCAGGCAGCACCTCTCACGGCTCTGCCATTCTGCTGGGGGTTTCCCACCAGCCAACGTGAGAAGTTGGAGTGGTGTCACTGCCATCTCCCCTCAGTTGCCACCTTCTATAAAATCTGCCTTGGAAAAGCCTCTGAGAGTCCTTCTTTTATTTCCTCGACACTTGTCCGAACACCCCAGAGCTCTTGCTAGGACTGTAGCAGCTAAAGTGATCTTCCTACACGCTGATGCTAGAATGTGCTACCTCCCTTCTACTCACAGACCTCCCCTTTCCTTCACCTTACCCTCAGTGCCCTCCCCTGAGCTCCCTGGCTTTGCAGCCCTGGAGTCACCCTTCCTCCCAGTGTCTGACTTCTCCCACTCATAGTCATGCTATCAGCCCGCCAGCCGGGCTGGGTGCTTCTACGCAGAGGTGCCACGCTTTCCTGCAGGTGTGCCCTGGCCATGGCATTTCTGCACAGGTCCTCCTTCCAAGATGCTGTTCCTGGTCGCATGGGACCTCTGACCTCAGGGCCAAGGCTGTATCTCCTGTGCCCTCTCCAGGACACCCAGAGCTGTCCACTCCTCCTGGTGGCCCTCACCTCTGTGTGTTCCCCTCTGTCAGACGGTGACTTCTCACTTTTGTACCCCGTTGCCTAGGACAGTCTTGGGACATAGCAGCCCCTCCAGCAATGGTTATTGGAATGAAGAATGAATGGGGAAACAGATAAAGGTGCTAGCAGACATGTGGACAAGTTGCTCTGTAGGAAAGCAGCTGCTGAGGGAAGTGGTAGAGGGATAAGGGCAGAAAGATCTTCAGCAATTTTCAAGCTCCTGGGGTCCCTGCGGCCAGCAGCACCCTCCGTCCTCACTCCTGCATGAGAGGATCAGCATGGGCTTCAGGCCGCACCTGCTTTTCTGCCCTTCCCGGGGCTGCATTGCCAAAACCAGGACCCAGCACAAATGTTGAAGGTGGCATGCGTCTAACTTCAGGGTTAAAATCAACACTCAGAAACGGCCTGCGTCCTTTGCATTTCTAGCTGCTTTCTAAAATTCCTTCCTACTCTTGACTCTGAAAAAGAGCCCTCGCAGGGAATGCTGTCGTTCACAAGCCCGGGCTGTGGGAATCTTGGTCCTAGACTCACTTCTGCTGCAAATGATATTTGCAGACGAGCTGTTCCTAGTGGGCCCCTTCTGCTCAGCAAACAGCCTTGGTGTGTGTGTGTGGCTGCCCGGGAGGGTAGTCAGAGCAGAGCGACTGTCCCACGCAGGATATCCCTCACCCTGTGATTTCTAATAGGCATTTCATACCATTCTGGAGCAAGAGCCACCATGAAGCCACCTGCCACCTGCAATACAGTCCACAAACCATCAGAATACCTGTGTCCGTACCTCTGGCAATGGTGTCCGGTCATTTGTGACTTCTACCTGGTCTACAAGAGGGAAAGACTGAAGAAAACTCAAAAAGAACACCATTACAAAGAGTAACCCAGAACCTCGCTAATTTCTTTTTGCCTTTGTTTAAAAATAAAAGGAGTTGGTTTTTCTGGACATAAATCTGTGAAGTCACAAGGGAAATGATGTATAGTTTTGATTAAGGATTAGAAACATCAGACTTTTCGGTGGTTCTTTTCAGCAAACAATAGGGCTCAAGCTGTCTTTCTTCTTAGGGAGCTTAAGCTTTTCACGCCAATCACTCAAACCCCTCAGGGACAGAGCAGAGGGATATATCTGCTGACAGCAAACAGTTCTGTCAGGCAAAGGCCCACATAAGTTAGATTTTTCCCCAAAATGAAACAGAGGGCATTAAAGAAATTTGTTTCATCAGTTAGGTCACATTATTGTATAATTAAGGTTCTGAGTGTGCCCATGAAGAAAGATAATGCAGAATGTTTTTTGTTTTTTGTTTGGTTCCCTATTATGTGTTGGGGCTGCCTCAAGCTATTTTCTTAGACTCTCATTTAATTTATAAGCCATGTTTCATGGCTCAGGATACTGAGGCTCTGAGAATTTAAGCAACTGGCTGGCGTGCCACAGTTAGGAATAATGAAATTTAGCCTGAACCCAGCTCTGTGTGAACAACTGCACTCTGTGTAGACCGCCGTCCTTAATTTAGCAGTCACACAGGTGACACCGAGCCCACAACCAGTCAACTGTTCAAAGCTTAATGCAGCAGAGTCCTTATCCCTAGTTCTCTTTCCATGGCTCCAGTCACTTGTGATCAACAGCCAATGCCTGAAAGTATTACATGGAAAATTCCAGAAATAGGAGTTGATCAACTCATAAGTTTTGAACTGAGTAGTGTGATGATGTCCTACTACCCAGCTTGGTCCCTCTGTCCGGGATCTCGGTACCACAGAGCTCCTGTTTAAAGAACGTGGTTTTACTTGATGATGGCTCTAAAGCACCTCAGAGGAGATCCTGGCAATTCAGATCTGCCAAGGGGAAGCCGCAGTTACTTACACGACAAGGAAAAGCCCTTATATTTCCCAGCCCATCACACCGGTGGGTGACTCGCAGCCTGAAATGTGGTTGCCCAGCACAGTTCAACCTAGACCTGCCGATAGGCAGCCCCATACACCAAAGAGCAAAGCGTTGGCTGCTGCAAGGCTTTGAGGTTTATTGTTACATAATGTGTATTGTGTTAATATGATCACAGAGAAAAATTACACCAATTAATTAGATTGATGTAGATTCAAGAATAGAGCAACTGTCCCTCCAGAAAAGAGAATAAGTGTTCCAGTGAGAGGAGGAGGTTGGTTTCACACAAAAAGGTTGTAGAAAGCAGAAATAACAACCAAAAAGCAGGTTGGTCATTTCAAAGTTACTTTTCCTATAAGGCAGGACAATGAGAGAGAATAATACAAAAATATCTGTTTAATATCAAGTCATTTGGGGGTATTTTTTTGTGTAAGGATTCAGGCAGAGGGACCTTCATTATTATTATTTGGGGGGGTTGAGGCAGGGTGTCACTATGTAGTTCAGACTGCCCTGGAACTCACTATGTAGCCCAGGCTGGTCTCAAACTCACAGCGATCCTCCTGCCTCAGCCTCCCAAGTGCTGGGATCACAGGCATGCGCCAGCACGCCCAGCTGGACCTTCATTATTACACCAATTGAAATTGGCCTGTTTGGGAAATGTAGCTGTTATCTTTCTAATCATGATTTATCCAGGTCAAATAAAAGATTTACATTGAGCTTTAGTATAAGTGTCTCCATTTTCACTTTTAGCCTGATCTCTTGAGGCCCAGCACAGGAATTAGTCCAAAAAAATGGCCTTGTATAATTTTTATTTAACAACATCAAGCAATGGCTATGATTAGAATTATTTTGAATAATTTCGATGACCAGAGGTATGGAAGCCAGTAGTTCCAGGGTTGGTTTGGCGGATACAAGGTATTCCTGAAGAGCAGCAGTCTTTTATATTCTGCTCCTTGGTCATCACTGTCTCAGCAAAGGTTTCTCTCATGGCTGCAATGACTCCATGCATTTTATCTTCAAATGACAGCAATTTCCAGGAGAAAGGAGAGGAGGGTGCTATGGACTGAATTTTGCCCCCGACCTCCCATTCACAGGCTGAAGCCCTAACCTCAGGGACTGAAGGGAAGGTCTACTGGGCTACTCATGAGGGAGTCTACATGAGGTTGTACGGGTGGGGCCCTAGTCTGATAGAACTGCTGTCGGAGCAAGAGAAGGAGGAGGAGACTTCAGAGCTCAGTCCTTCCCTGTGCACACAGAGGAGAGGCCATGCGAGGATTCAGTGAGATGGAGAACACAGCCCTGAAGGCAGCCTGAGCTTGGACGTTCATCTTCCAAAGCTATGAGACAGTGAAGTTCTGTCATTTAGGCCACTGGTCTGTGGTCTGCTGTCTCGGCAGCAGGATCAGCTTGAGACATGGGATCGAGGAGGTTTCTTTTGTATGGCTCTTTCTTTTTATCAAGGGGGAAAACCTTTCCCAGAAGTCCTCAGCAGACCCTTCAGGTTTCCTTGCTAAGAACTGTGCCCTGTGACTGCCCTTGACCAGCCAATAATAAGAACAATGAAGTTGCTGTGATGATGTGAGCCAGTTATGATTGATTATCTTGAACCACCACCGGGGCCATCCAAACAAATTCAAGGAGCACATCTTTTGGAATAAGCTAGAATATATGTAGTCATCAGCCAAGGCTTATTTCATGCTTCTGTGGCTTGTCTGCCATGGACTGGCTGCACTTTCACAGTTTCTTTGCTTTGACACTTGGATGATGAGACATCTCTAAAAGGGGACCTCTCATGGTTGAGGACAGAGGGAAGGAACATGAACTGGGGCCACGGCTTCATCCTGCACCATCTACATTTGTATTTCATTGGGCAGACCTCATGGCCCAACATGGTAGTATTGAGTCAGTGAAGCACAACCCATTCCCAAGAGCAGGGACTGATCTTTGTGAATAATTGTGTAATCTATCAGTTTGTCCTTCTGCAGGTCAAAGATCCTCATCTCCTCTGCAAAAGAAATAGTACTCAAGTCCCACCAGGTACCATCCAGATCAAAGCCCAGGAGTCTCTGAGTGATGCCTGATAGCATTTTTTCAAAGGGTGCAGAAGGAGCTCCTCCTTATTTGACATAGTTGTGAGCAATTGCTGGGCAGGGGCAAGGTGGGTGCCATAAAACTTTCCTTGTAGAAAGGGAAAGACTTAAGATACACAGAGCAGCTACTGACCCCAGGACTGATATCCTCACCAGGCAGACAAGTGAGAAACCCTGTCTTGGGGTACAGCGTCTCCTTTGATGGAGCCTTATTCTTACTTCTTAGGATCAGCTGCCCCAGTCGATCATTCTCCTTGGCCATTGACCTCATCCTGGAAAGTTGTCTTCTCTGTGATACTCAGTGGCCAAATCTGGAGAGTGTGGAGAACAGGCCTTCTTTGTAACCAACACACCATCTCTGAGCCTGCTCCCTATCCACAGGGCTGGATTCCAAGGAGTGATATAAATCTCGAATGACGTAGTCTGCTTCCATCCAAGTAGTGGTTCATTTGAGAGCATCACTCTTGCAAACTTTAATCCTATTGGTACGAATATGATTCCACTCAGTTCCAAAGACCAGTAATGACATCTACAGTTTTTGAGACCTTCTGTTCTCTCTGACTTAATTGAATATGTCTAAAGCTTATCCTTGGGACAGCCACAGCTTTAGTCTCTTTTCCTTAAGACATCTTGCTTAAGAGAAAATATATACTCCAGTTTATCTGAATGAATTTAGATGGTTAAGACAGGGAGCCTTGGCCATGTAATTGTTGTAGCCATAATTCCCAACCATAAGGTTGGCTTTTCATTAGCTGATATCATTTAAAAGGTCTACTCAGTAAAACCTTTTATCTTTTTCATTATTTAATTGTGTAAGTCCCTGAATTCCTTGGCATTCTGCATTCCTTTTTTAATCATGTCAGCAGACAGAATACTTGTTTCTTTTATTTTCTCACACTTTCTCTTACCTTACTGCCTAACAGCAAACAAAATCTGACTATTAACATTGTTTTCCCACATTTTTTGCCCAAATCTATAGACACGGAAGGGACATTACCTGACTTTGCAATCATAGCAGGTGACACTGTGAAACCACTCTTTCATTAGTACAGGATCATCTCCTCATAATGTTCCCGCTGTGCCCAGCTTCCCAGGAGTCAATGCTGTGCATGCCAAGTGACAAGGATAGGGGGATAGGCAAAGTTATGCTAAGGTGAAAGTACATTCCTCGAGGTCAGGGGCTAACAGAAACAATGTGATTTATGTTCCTAATATACATTTGCAGTGCATCAGCTATGATTTCGCTATTTTTGAGACCTGGGCCGATGGAATGCCTCCCTTAAGAAGTTTGCTAATCTCACAGCTGAGGGGATAGAGCACAGGAGAGGCTCTGAATGTTTGTGCTCAAAAGTGGCACACATCATTTCCACTCATATTTCACAGGCCAGAGCAATTTCACAGCCAGGCTGAAGTCAATGAGTTGGGAAGTACAATTCTTTGTTACACAGGAAGAGACAGTGAGTCTGGAACAGGATATTCTATTAACAAAGACCACTGTACAGCGGTGGGGTAGGACAAGCAGTCAGCCCAGATCATAGGGTCCTTCCTAGAGATTCTAGGCCAGCATTGAAGCTTGGATTTGAATCCTGAGAGCTACAGTGGACTCTTGACTTATGAACTCAGTTCGTTTCCAAGGGCTGGTTGTAACTCAAGTCAGTCAGTTGAAGGCTCAGGCTCCTCTATGCAGCCCTCAAAGTCTTTCTGGTATACAGGCAGATCTCAGTGTCCTTAGAGAGACACTGGCCTAGGATTTCTCAATTAACCCCACACAGGAAAGGATGTTGTAATGTTCCCTCAGAACTCTTTAAAGGCTGAATCTGTATCTGAGACCTTCTAGGAGCACAGGTGGCAGGCATTTGGATTGTAACTCAAGACTGGTTAAAACTAAAATTCCAGCTATAATCAAAGTTGTTTGTAT